AATCCAATAATGATTTCTCCACAAAATATCATTATTTCTGTAACTCTACGAAGTCGGTTTAAATCTTATAATGCAATACAACCAATAGCTAAGGAATGTTGTATGCATAATACTCCAAACAAGGTTGGAAAAAATATGTACCAAAAAAACAAGGTTGGAAAAAATGGAATTAATTATTATGAAAGCAAGTGGGAAACTTCCTAGTGGTGGAGAATTCTTTGGCGTGAATTAATCAAGATGTACCCAATAACATTAAATTGGCTACCATGTGCCCACATGCAAATAGCATGGTCCTACTCCTATCCCATTGCCTTTGTACCTTTTAGTCATCAAATCAAACTCCCTCCCTCCTTGTACGGTACACTGCACGAGTCCCTCTCCTAATTAATGCTTGCTATTTCGTACTAAACATCATTAATGTGTTTTAGATAATTTTAAAGATCATTTGTTGGGATTTATTTGTGTTAATTTTTTATTTACATATAAATTTTATTAAAAAATAATATTAAAAATTATTTCATTGAAATGTTTTAATTTAATAATTATATCAAGGTAGGTTAGTCATGGAAATGTAGCTTGAGGTGCAACCATTGGATTTGGATCAAATAATTTACAAGCATAATGCATGTGCATATTACAGCTGAGAACGTGACTACACAAATTATTCAAAATTGGATATTGGCATGATAATGCTGACTACTCAAACTATAAATCTAGAAGGTGTAGGCACGTGAATTAAATTTACAACTTGCTCACTTTTTTGTCTTTCCCTTTTTTAGAAAATAAGAGTCTTTACGAGATTTTTTTTTTCTTTTTAAAAAGAGTCTTTAGGAGACAATTTACATTAAAGCATACCAAATTTGATTGCTAAGCTGTATTTTTTTTTTTCATATAATGAGATATAATTATTTTTTATCTTTTATTTTACTTCATTCGTATATTATGTGAATAGAATTTAAAATTTTTTATTTTTAACCAAAATAAATAATCATTAAATTATTTAGATTGTTAACAATTGAAATTATATTTTTTAAACTCAAATTATATAAATTGAAACTAGAAATAAACAAATAAAAAATTCCTCCAACAACCATATTTTTGCAAATCTTTCTTTTGGTGAAATATATATATATATTTACAAATCTGAAATTAACAAATTGTAGAACACAACAGGGCATGACGGTGAAGAAGAACTGAAGAAGGGCACGTATTGTCCAAGCTTCATACTTGGTAGTTGGTACTCTAACAGGGCCCTAGAAAAGAAAGGAACGTAAAAGTACGATTATTTAATTAATTTGGTGGTTTAACAGCGCACATGGGGTTTCGTCAAAGCGGCAGTGCCTTGGGCTTTGGGCTTCACATCACATGGGCTGGCTGCTCAGTTGTAGCACTAGCACATGCGGAGGCCAGAGAATTATACATGACTATTTTATTTTTTTAGTACCAAAAATTTATATATTTACCAATTAAACATAAAAATTTCTTAATAATTTGTGTTATATAATTTAATTTAATCTGACTTGTATAATTTTTTTAATTTAATTTGATAATATTAATTTGCAATTGTAGTTCTAAGTTTTTTTAATCCTTTAATATTTAAAAAATATAAAATATATTTTATATATTTAATATTTATTTTAATTAATATTTTATATATTTTTAAAATATAAAAATCAAAAATAAATTAAAAAAAAAAAACTGTTGCCTAATGAAACTAAAGTTTCAGCTTCTTCTGACTAAATAAGTGAAACTATCCAATAATTTAAGATGCTTATAGCAACCTTGTTTTTTTGTGGTACTAGTTTTGTTTATATTCATGTAGCAAAGGCATAGGCAATTATTTAGTTATAAATAGTCTTTTTCACTTTTTTTTTTTTAACAAATTCGTAAGAGATTATATTCGAACCATTGCCCTAAAGGTGGATGAATGCATTTATATGTGACATGACGTCACTAGGCCCGAAGGCCCAAGTGCCACTTAATTATTTATATATGACATGAATATAATTTAAATTTATTATTAATATTATAAATTATATTTTAATCTTTAAGTTAAATTACCTTACATGAAAATACATACGTAACTTATTTATTTATTAATAGAATCTTTGTTTTTTTTTAAAAAAAGTTAAATGTTAATTTTGGTCCTTTAATTTTAAAAGTTTTCACTTTTTTGGTTCCTAAACATTTTTTTGCACTTTTTTTGATTATTTAACTTTAAGAAATGCACAACATTGATCCTTCCTTTAATTTGGGCCGTTAACTTCTTCCACGTGACATTATTTATATTTTTTTTATAACATGAAGGGCACAACTTAAAAAAGTGCTGACATGGATAATCCAATCGGAAAAAAGAAGAAGCTTACATGGTAATATTAAGATTAAACATTCATTAATTTAAATAATTAAGACTATTAATTATAATTAAACTTGTACTAAACCAACATAATCTTTTTGATTGCACAAAATCAAAATGAAATCTAACAACAAAACCAAAACCAAGATTTAATAAATTTCTCTCTTTTTCTACACCGATGATTAACCTGCAACAAAACCAAATCAAAACCTTGAAAATTCTACTACTTCAATCTAGCTTAATGATCACATAATCACAAGAGAAATAGCCAAACCAAAACATAAAAACAAAATTTTGCACCATTTATAATACTAAATTGCCATCCCACAATTGAAATAATTGAAACAAAAATCCATCAAACAAAGAAAAAAAATATATAAACATAGGTTTAGAAACCCAGAACTGGGTTCAAACGAACCCAAATTGTTGGATTCTACGAAACCCGAATTTAGGTTCAAACGAACCTAAATCACTAGGTTCCACGAAATGAAGATCTAGGTTCAAATGAACCCAGGTCATTGGGTTCCATGGAACCCAAATCTGGGTAAAGAGCGAAAGAGAGAGGCGAAGAAAAAGGAGGAAGAGAAAGAGAGCAATGGAGAATGGATAAAGGTAAGTTAGAAACAAAGAGGAGACCAAAGGTGGAAGATAAAGTAAGGGTAAAATTGTCATTTTAAAATTATTTTAATTTAATGAATAATAATTTTTCATATCATCATCTTTTTAAGTTGTCTTTTTTATGTCATCAAAAAAATATAAAAAATATCACGTGAATAGACTTAACGGCTCAAATTAATGGAAAAACCAATATTATGTATTTTTTAAAGTTGAGGGATAAAAAAAATACAAAAAATTATTAAGGAACCCAAAAAGTGTAAACCTATAAAGTTGAGCTTAGCATTTAACAAAAAAAAAAAAAAAAGAAGTTAACCACTTCTTCCTTTTCTTTGATTTTAACTAAAGTAGCGGATCCCATTATCCACAACTACTTAAACAACTCTTCAATGCGCCGTGCTCGGGAATGGATTTTCATCTTTACTCCAATCTCAAACTTTTTTTTTCACCTATGTAAATGGCATCTATGATGTATCAGTTGTTGCCTGATTAAACTGCCTATTAATACCTGTCATTAATCAAGGGAAGGGCAGAATTTCAGATCAATGTGAGTGAGACTATATGGGATTTTTCCCAACCCAACTCCTTCCACAATAAAATCTCCATTTATACCCTACAATAAAAGGAGCTTACCCCCTACCCTCCCCCACCAAAATGCCCCTCTTCTTTTTCACTTCCATTCCTCTGGTTTTGACATTTTAGGAGAGGGGTTTTTCTCTTTGTATCAAAAAAAAAAAAAAAAAGAAAAGAAAAAAAAAAAGGCATGGCCAAGTTTGTTGCTGCTTTGCTTTTGGCTCTCATTGCCATTTCCATGCTCCAAACCATGGTTAGTGTTTCTATCTTGCCCCTATTTTCTTTCTCTTTCCCTATTGAATGTATACTAGGAAAAGGAATCTTGAATCAAATGAAAAGGAGAAAGAAAAATTAGAAAGTTCCTGACATTTTCTTTCTTCCATCATTTCAGGTCATGGCATCACATGGGCATGGCGGTCACCATTATGATCAAGTAATGTTGACATTTTCTGTTTGAATCTAAGAAATCTTTTGTTTTTGTTAAAGAAATTAATGTTGAAATTTTGATTTTCATATTCTTTTTGTATTGCAGAAACACTATGGATCTGGAAGTCTCAAGAGCGCCCGTAAGTTCTTAACTTTCTGTTCTCCCCTCACATTTTCCTTTCTTTTCTTTTCCTTCACTCTCTCACTAAACAAACAGAATATAAGAGAATTAGACACTTGACCAAATTGTCCCAAGAATTAATCTTCTGTGTCAAACCATGTTAACTGTTAGTCAAAAAAATATTATGGGATATAGCAATTTTGCTTTTCCAGGGTTTCCAGGATCCATTTTTAACTGTAAAATGTAAATAATGATGTCTATCTGTTTTATGGGAAATTACCAGAATGCCCATCCGAGTGCTCAAGGAGATGTAGCAAAACCCAATACCACAAGCCATGCATGTTCTTCTGTCAAAAGTGCTGCAGAAAGTGCCTGTGTGTGCCTCCAGGGTATTATGGAAATAAGGCTGTGTGCCCTTGCTACAACAACTGGAAGACCAAGAAAGGAGGACCCAAGTGCCCTTGAATATTGGACCAGCTGCCCTAAACAGTCCTATCTGCCCTTCTTTCCCCCCTTTACCCTTCATAAATTCTGTTGCTGACTATTTTAAATTATTATAGGTTATGTATCTCTCAAAATGTTTTTTTGGATATGGTTGTATTGTATCCCCTGTATTATTGCATGTCACTCCATTGGGTAATATATATGCCCTCTCAATGAAAGTGGCCAAATCAAACCTTTGTTATATTTTATTATCAATGAAGGTCTTATATTTAATTAATCTACTGCATTCAATTGTTTCTTTACGAATCATGGAAATGGAATTCTCTGAGGTTCTAGTTGGGAACATAGTTTTAAAATGTTTATTTAAATTTAGACCTTTTAAATTCAATATTATTGTTTGGTTAAATTTAAATAGGGTGTAATTGAATTTAAGTCAATTATATGTATTCAAAATACATGTTTTAAATACAAATGTGTTCCTACATGCAACTTGAAAAAAGTTATTAATTTGATACAGTTTTTGCAGCCTACATCCTTAAACAACAGAACTGAAGGTATACAGATGAAATTCAAAGAATGTTTTGGCAAGAACAATTCAGACAAGTTTTCTTCTTTTCTTTTTTTCTTTTTTTTTTTTTTTGAAAATAGGTAATGGAAGTTTTCTTCTTTTCTTTGCAAAGTTAATGTTGAAAAATGGGAAGTATTTAAAGCCCATAATAAATTTATAATGAAAATGCCAAGACTGGGCTCATTA